ACTGGGGCCAGTAGATCAGACTGATCAGGGTGGGCAGAATCACACGTGTTGATTAGGTCAATTTTTTATTTTTATTTATTTATTTACTTTTAAGATATTTTTTATTTTGTTTTTTTGAGTCAGAGTTTCGCTTTGTCACTCGGGCTACAGTGCTGTTGCGTCAGCCTCGCTCACAGCAACCTCAAACTGCTGGGCTCAAGCAATCCTCCTGCCTCGGCCTCCTCCCGAGTAGCTGGGACTACAGGCACGCGCCACCATGCCCGGCTAATTTTTTTTTCTATCTATTTTTAGTTGGCCAATTAATTTCTTTCTATTTTTAGTAGAGACGGGGTCTCACTCTTGCTCAGGCTGGTCTCGAACTCCTGACCTTGAGCGATCCTCCCTGCCTCGGCCTCCGCCTTCCCAGAGCTGGGGATTACAGGCCGTGAGCCACCGCGCCAGCAAGTCACATTTTTACAAAGGCACTGCGCCGCCTAGAGTTTCTCAAAATCCTCCATTGAAGCCATACAATATAATGTACCTACCGAGTAATGTCAGTTTGTTCTCCAACCTCATGGCAGATTCCAGGAGTAATTGTTCCCGGTTGTCAATGCTGGTTTCAGCTAAAAAATGGTTCCTCAGCCACTCTGCATACTCAATATCACTCATGACCTATGGGAAGAAGAAAGAAAAAAAAAAGAGCTATGAAGCAGGTCATATGACTTGCAGATCCTACCAGGACCGACCTCGGGCAAAATATCAAGCCGTCCCACTTGTTGCAGGTAATTCTCCTCCCCTTGGGTTCGGGCATGCCCATGTCCTATACTCGCACACTAGCCCCGATGCAAGCTTCCCAAAGCTTGTGTTCACACTAGTGCAACACTCATGATCGACAGACCCTATGCAAATTCCAGGCACCGAATAAGGATGAGCAAGTGGGTTAATCTCTTAATTAAACCAGGAAGTATGCAGAGGGCAGAGGTCTGCAACTGGTAGCTAAATCCAGGGTGATTCTAACCGTGTCACTGAGAAAACGGTATCAGGTTGGTCCACTTTGAGGGGTTCAGGAGCAAGCAGCACCTGGTTACATCGTCGGATGGTCATTTCATGCAGTCAATGATCGATAAAGGTTAAAAAAAGAGAGTCGTACGAATGAAACAGGACAGTCTTATTCCAAACAAAAATAATGGAAATTCCAGGAGAAGCAGCCCAACGATGATACAGTTGCCTTTTTGTCTTTGGGTTGCCATGAGGGAGAAATCTACATTTGTTCCAATTCTTATCAAGCAGGGTGGAGTGAAGACAAAAGGGAGTGAGGGGCCATTTCTCCATCTACCTCATTCGGCCCACAAATTTCATGATTGAGGATCCTAGATGATTTTTGAACTTATCAATCATGCTGGTTGATTTTTGAACTCATCAGCAACTCACAGATGAATAGTGGAAACCCGGTCAGAGATGAAGTTTCTGAATTCCACATGAATTCTGATTAGCTCATGTACTGTTTATCGTTAGCTTGAAATGCCATGAAGCTGAGGCTCTTACATGCCTGACAGGGGTTTCTTCCAAGCAATGGAGTATTATAACCTTTGCGAATAAGGGAACGATATTGCTTAAGCAGAAAACACTAAGCAATGCCTACTTCGGAAAGAGATGATTGAGAAAAAGTAGGGGGAAAAAAAGAACATCCGGCGATTTATTCTCTTAACTACCTAATAATCACTTTTTCAAAGAGCGACTTTCTAGGCAAAACCTTGTAAAATACAGTTTCTGATCGAGGGCAGCTTAACTGGAAGTAAATTATTTTTTATGTTGAAACTGACCACCTCCGAAGCTGCCCAAAGAAAACGATCTGATGGAAAATTAACGTTTAATTGGGTTGTGCTGCAAATTGAATTTCAAGTGGATCGTCTGTGAAACAAGAAGATAGTTACACGCGAGGAAGCTAGCACAGCAAGGGGTGAACCGCCAGCCCGGAAAACGAGTCTTTTTCTTAACTGAAAATGAATTTTCCATGAATTCCTAAGCTACAAATAGACTTTAAAAATCCAGCTTTGGCGGGAGCCGCAGAACCTTGGTATATCACAGATGTATTGGATTTTAGACTGAGTTAAAACTAAGCCAACTGGCACGTGGAAAGGTACGTTAGCATGAAACACGATATTGCACCCAATACTTTATATTTTGCTTCGTGTTGTTTGTGCAAATGATGTGGGAGGTCTCAGAAGTCTGCTGAGAAGAAGGCTTCAATTTGGTAAGAAAACTAGAGCCAAGTGGACTGCTCTCACCAGCCAGCCTCCCAGAGGCTGAGGGTAGCGGCCTTCCCAAGTTCAAATCCCATCTCCCCCACAAACTGATCTCAGGACCCTGGGCTAATTATTTAACGTCATCTATAAAATGAGGAAGAGTGGAGTTTGCTTCTCAAAAACGTGATTGCCCTTAGCATCGCTAGGAAAATTTCAAACATTCCGTGCCAGGCCACATACCGGGACCCACTTGAAACCACAATTCCTGGAGGCAGGATGCGCATCAGTTTCTCTTAAAGCTTTCCCATATAAATTCTATGATGCAGCTCAAGTTGAGATGAGAGGTTCATCCCGTTGTGCAATTTTAGTTAAAACCAGGACAAAAAAGAGAAATAAATTTCCGTTGTTTCCAGTTGCAGGGTATGGAGAAGAAAAGGGACTCTGAAGCCAACGATTATCTGGGGTTTAAATGCTCCCTTAGTTGGCAACTAACTCAGCTCCGCTCCTAGATGTGACCTTGAGCAAGCCTTTTTGCGCTTCTCGTGCCCCAAGGTTCCTCCCTAACTCAGACGGAGATGTGTGGTAAGGATTAAAAAGATACACATACGCGTGTTTCCATGAAAATAAGACTACCCATGAATATCCCCAGCCAGGATGTCTAAGCATGTGGCCAATAAAACCCTACCCGACAAATAAGCCCTAGTGATGGGCATGGCCTATGAAAATCAGCCCTAGGGTGGGCGGGCTATGAATAATCAGTCCTAGTGGGTGGGCGTGGCTATGAAAATCATCCCCTAGTGGTGGGCATGGCTTATGAAAATCAGCCCTAGTGGTGGGCGTGGCTATGAAAATCAGCCCTACGTGGGGGGCGTGGCTTATGAAATCAGCCCTAGTGAGGGGCGTGGCTAGAAATCAGCCCTAGTGACAGGCGTGGCTGCGCAGCGCATCTGCACGACCCATGCGTGTCGTCGTGGAGCGGGAAGAACACGAGCAGCCTTCTCATTCCGCCCCGTGAGAGCTCTAGTGCTCCACAGGAGAGATCGGGGCCAGTGGTTCTAAAGGAAACAGAGTCGCAAGACATTCAGGATGGGATTCGGGGTTTGGAGAGTGATGATGATTTCCAGAAGAAGACGACTTCCACTCTATTGGAATCAATGGAGATGGTTGTACCGTACTTAAAAAAATAACACCATCCCCTGAAAATCAGCCCTAGCGTGTTTTATTGAGGAAAAATAAATATAAGACCCTGTCCTATTTTCAGGGAAACACGGTAGCAAGTACCTTATCCAATGCCTGGCAAAGAAACCTTTAGCTTTCTTCTCCTGAACCAGGGTATTTATTTGGCTTTATAGTTAATCGTTGGTGTTTAAATGATCTCCGTAAGGAAGACTACTCTGATCCTACCACAGATGAAGTCTAGTTCACTGCCATGGAGACAGAATGGAAAGAACTAGAAGCTGGGCAGAGATCAGACTGATCAGGGTGGGCAGAATCACGTGTTGATTAGGTCAATTTTTTATTTTTTTATTTATTTATTTATTTACTTTAAGATTTTTTTTATTTTTATTTTTTTTGAGTCAGAGTCTCGCTCTGTAACTCGGGCTACAGTGCTGTTGCGTCAGCCTAGCTCACAGCAACCTCAAACTGCTGGGCTCAAGCGATCCTCCTGCCTCGGCCTCCCTCGAGTAGTGGGACTACAGGCATGCGCCACCATGCCCGGCTAATTTTTTTTCTATTATTTTTAGTTGGCCAATTAATTTCTTTCTATTTTTAGTAAGACGGGGTCTCACTCTTGCTCAGGCTGGTCTCGAACTCCTGACCTTGAGCGATCCTCCTGCCTCGGCCTCCGCCTCCCAGAGTGCTGGGATTACAGGCGTGAGCCACCACGCCCGGCCAAGTCACATTTTTACAAAGGCACTGACGCCTAGAGTTTCTCAAAATCCTCCATTGAAGCCATACAATATAATGTACCTACCGAGTAATGTCAGTTTGTTCTCCAACCTCATGGCAGATTCCAGGAGTAATTGTTCCCGGTTGTCAATGCCTGGT